ATGTTGAGGACTTTCTAATAATGTTAATTCAGAATAAGACAACTTATAAAAATTATGCAGGCAAGCAAATACTTGAGGATATAATTTTATGATAGCCTTTTTTTTTTTTTTTTTGACAGGCAGAGTGGACAGTGAGAGAAAGAGAGACAGACAGAGAGAAAGGTCTTCCTTTTTGCCATTGGTTCACCCTCCAATGGCCGCCGTGGCCGGTGCGCTATGGCCAGTGCATCACGCTGATCTGAAGCCAGGAGCCAGGTGCTTCTCCTGGTCTCCCATGGGGTGCAGGGCCCAAGGACTTGGGCCATCCTCCACTGCACTCCTGGGCCACAGCAGAGAGCTGGCCTGGAAGAAGGTCAACCAGGACAGAATCCGGCGCCCCGACCGGGACTAGAACCTGGTGTGCCGGCGCCGCAAGGCGGAGGATTAGCCTAGTGAGCCATGGCACTGGCCCTATGATAGCTTTTTACTATGACAATATCTACTGTTATTATCACCAAAAATAAATATAAACTAAAAAAATTAAGGATCTAATATTTCTCCCATAATAAATCTTTGGCATTATTATTTATTACTTTGATACCTTGTGGAAAAGTGATAACTAAAGAATAACTATGCAAAAGCTGATGACACATCAGGGCATATTTTAAAAGAATTGATAGAACACTTCCAGAGCCCCACCAACTCTTCAATGTAGACTTACACAGGTGTCCATATTCACTAGCTAACTAGTCCTATGTTCAAACATTAATAGACATAGGCATATCCTATAGATTGAATTTCTTTGTATTTCCTTTGTCAAAAAGAAAATTATTTCATTTGTCAGTGCCTCCATATATCTTTAGAAGATGTTTGTCAGTGTTTATTAGCATTGTTGATACAGCTCCATAAATACAACATTCATTTGGTACTCTTCTGCTTGCTCCATATGGCTCAAGCTGGGAAACTTTTGCCTGGAAATTGTCTTATTTCCTGGTATTTTTCATAAGGAAATTGTTTATGTGTCATTCATCAGTTTTATGGCCTTTTGTTCTTGATTTTATAAAGTGGAAGCATGCTCAGTATTCAGTCACACACAGAGCAAACTCATTACAGGATTGTCAATGAGCAATTTACCAAGCAGAAAGTCAAATGTGCTTGCCTGGAATGTGGACTGTGGTGTGTTACTCTCAGTGGAAGTAGCAAGTAAAATTTTACCCACAACTGGTTACCTAGGGGTAATTAAAACCGTTAATCTTTTTATTGATCTTTGACTCTGGTTGCTTACTATATTTAGCAGATAAGATTCATGAGCTACTGGAGTGTGTCCATTGTCAAAAACTCCATCAATAGGTATCCCCTGAAGAGGGCTCCAGGGTAAAGGAGCGTTTATCTGATCTATGCTTATTATGAGGTTCATTCAGACCTGAAACAAATAATTGTTATGCTTTATTAAGAAACAATATTTGCAAACTGTGAAGCCAATGAAAACCGTAACTTTTTATACTACAGCAAAGTGCCACATGCTAAATGTCTTTTGAGTCATATCCGTTGCATTTATTTTATATTTAAGGAGGATACCAGTCCACTTCATAGCATCCAAAAAAGATGTAGGGCAATGTATACTTTTATATTTAGGTGCTCTTTAAAAAAATAAATGTCTACAATTATTTCTCTGAAACGGTAATATTCCATGAGAAAAGCATGCCTTTGTTCACAGATCAGTGATACGGTGATCTTTAACAGATGCTTTGGTGCCATTATCATCTGTCCTAGCCATTTGGCTGTCATAAAAGCTGTACCTATGTGTCCAACTTAGGTTATTATTCCAACAAGATTTGCTGCCTTATACTATAACAATTAGTTCTTTAGAAGACTGGATCATCAGCCAGTGACCTTGAGCAAGTAGAGAATATTTTAGAATTGGGCATGTGGTAGCTCTTTTGAGTATTTGTGTAGGAAAGTAAAATTTAAGATTGGCAAATATTTTACACTTGCTGCCTTGATCAGAAGTCCATAACAGCCTCAGGTATTAGAATCTTTAAAAATGTTATTTATTTGTTTATTTTCATTTTATGTAGGAAAGAGGGAGGGAGAAAAGGAAAGAGAGAGATCTTTCTTTTGCTGGATTATTCCTCAAATATCCTCAATAGCTAGAGCAGGTCCAGGCTGAAGTCAGGAGCCAGAAATTCAATTCAGGTCTCCCACACGGGTGTCTGGCACCCAAGCACTTAAGTCATCGCCTGATGCTCTCCAGCATGTGCTTTAGCAGTAAGATGGAATCACAGGCAGAGTCAGGACTTGAACTCAGGCACTCTGATAGGAGATATGAGTGATCCACTAAAAATCCTAACCATGGTGCCAAACACCTGCCCTTGAAGTGTTCAAAACTTAGTGATGAGAGTCCATGCCTGATAAATATTGACTGAATCTCTGCACTCACATGAAACTAATCAGAGCTAATATGCAAATGACATAATTTTACAGGACAAAAATGTCAAAATAAATGACAATGTGTGTAGGAAACAATTATCATTCGAAGATTCCCAGTGTCTTCATTCCCTTTCAATTCTGGAGGAATCACTTTTTGTACTGGTGGTGGTGGTAAAAGTCAAGATTCCCTTTTCTTTACAAAAATCATTAGAAGTAGGCCTACCAAAAAACAAACAAACAAACAGAAGCTTGAAAGAGTGAATACTGGGAAAGTAAAGAAACCCAAGTAGAAATGCCCATGAGAGATCACATGGAGAAGCTAAGCTCTGAGTGATACAGCAAGGTGAGTGTCCAGGAGCAAGCTCAGCAGTGGTGGTAGTCTGATTTCTGGTTCTATGACTTTGAATTGTTCCAAATGTCTTGGCCTTTAGCTGTTCTAGAGTTCCTAGGCTTTTGATGTTCTCCATTTTCTATGCCAGGTTCTTTAGATTTGTAAGAACTTGGTCAGCCATCCAATAACCTTCAAATACAGATAATTATAATCAATCTTCTTCCGTAGTTAAACAGAGCTCATTTTTATTGTTGTAATCAATAACTGTTGATATTTATTGGACTAATTGTACTTGCACATATGCGGGCAACTCAAAACATTTATGAAAATTAGAAATAAAATATAAGTTTATTTTGGTTATAAAGTTATCTCAATTTCATACATATATGTATATATATGTAACGGAATATTACTAAGCCAAAAAAGGAATGAAATCCTGACATTTGCAACAAAATGGATCCAAGTGGAGATTATTATGCTATGTAAAATAAGCCAGATCTCCAAAACACAATGTCATGGGTTCTCTTATTTGTGGTAGTTAATACACAGAGAAAGTAAAAATAAAATGCGTGGAAGTTGCAATATTTAGTATATAGTTATAAGAAGTGCTATACTAACTCATCTATGTAAATGACAATATATTCATTTGAAACATTAAAAAAGAAATGGATGATATCCGGGCCCATGCATAGCAGGTTAAGATTCCACCTGTGGCACCGGCATCCCATCTGGACAACCGGTTCAAGTCCTGGCTGCTTTTCTTCTTCTTCTTCTTCTTCTTTTTCTTCCTCTTCTTCCTCTTCTTCCTCTTCTTCCTCTTCCTCCTCTTCCTCCTCTTCCTCCTCTTCTTCTTCTTTTTTTGACAGGTAGAGTCAGACAATGAGAGAGAGAGACAGAGGGAAAGGTCTTCCCTCCATTGTTTTACCCCCTAAATGGCCGCTAAGGCAGGCACGCTGCCCTGATCCGAAGCCAGGAGCCAGGTGCTTCTCCTAGTCTCCCATGCAGGTGCAGGGCCCAAGCACCTGGGCCATCCTCCACTGCCTTCCCGGGCCACAGCAGAGAGCTGGACTGGAAGAGGAGCAACCAGGACAGAACGGGCACCCCAACCAGGACTAGAACGCCGGGGTACCAGTGCCGCAGGACGAGGACTAGCCTAGTGAGCCGCAGCCAGGGCTGCTCCAATTCTGTTCCAGCTCCCTGCTAATGGCTTGAGAAAGCAGTGGGAGACGGCCCAAGTGCTTGCGTTCCTGTACATACCTGGAAGACCTGAAAGAAGCTCTTGGCTGCAGGCTTCAAATTGGCTCAGCTTAGGCCACTGCGGCTACTTGGGGAGTGAACCAGCAAATGAAAGACCTTTCTCCTGGTCTCTCCCTCTCTCTATCTGTAACTCTGCCTCTCAAATAAATAAATAAAATTTTAAAAATAAAAAGAATTAGAGTTGGGGGGTATGGTGAGGATTTGGGGGGTACTAGTAATTCCTTGTTCTTAATTTGGATGTTGATTATGAATGTGGTCAAAATGACAATAAAACTATTTTATCTCATTTATCTGTACACTTATATGCATTTCCTGGTGTGTATACAGTGTTGCCTTTTTTAAAATAAGATTTATTTATTTATTTGAAAGTGTTACACACAGAGAGAAGGAGATGGAGAGAGAGACAGAGAGAGAGAGAGATCTTCCATCTGCTGGTCCACTCCCCAATGGCAGCAATGGCTAGAGCTGCACCAACTAAAGCCAGGAGACAGGACATTCCTCCAGGTCTCCCAGGGGGTACAGGGGCCCAAGGATGTAGGCCGTTTTCTACTTCTTTCCCAGGCCATAACAGAGAGAGCTGGACTGGAAGTAGAGCAGCTGGGACTCGAACCAGAGCCCATATGGGATGCTGGCACTGTAAGCATTGGCTTTACTCGTTATGCCACAGTGCCGGGCCCTATATACAAGGTTTCAATCAAATGTTTTTAAAAATAAAGTATAACTTTATTTTGATGCAAAAAATATTTGAAATGCATGCATCATAATATTCATTTCATGTGAACTTTAAAAATTTATTTATTTATTTATTTTTTCCACTTTATGCCAGGAATTTAATAACAAAAAATGATAACACTATTCTGTCCTAGAAATTGAGGAAGAAACAGTTATTCTCACAATAAAGGAGAATTTTATATATGTGTTTGTGTAAATATATTTAAATATATATGTATTTTAAAGAGATCCAGTACTTCCCATATAAACCCAATAGGGAAAACCCCAACAATTACCAATTTGTCATTTTTTTAATTGTCTCATACTTAGAGAATGATTGAAAAAGCATATAAAATTAAACTTAATTGTTCATTAGAATTACACTTCAATTGACCAATGGCTTTAAAATAAACAAAAGTCTTGAATACACCAGAAAGCCCTGCCCATTAAAATTCTATAACATACCTTAGGGAAGAGAATGCTCTCACCTCAAAGTTTCTTTGCAAAAGTAAGAAGTTCTCAGTTGATATGACATGGCACGTTATACAGGAGTGACCTTGCATCTAGCTTTCTGTGTTACTCACATTCACGGGACTTCTCTACAGTAGGAAATTCATAGGTTTGGAACTCTTTGTTCAAATTGGAAACTGGGGTTGGTGCTGTGGCATAGCAGGTAAAGCTGCCGCCTGCAGTGCTGGCATCCCATATGTGTACCGGTTTGAGTCCTGGCTGCTCCATTTCCAACCCAGCTCTCTGCTATGGCCTGAGAAAGCAGTAGAGGATGCACAAGTGCTTGAGCCCCTGCACCCATGTGGGAGGCCCAGAAGAAGCTCCTAGCTCCTGGCTTCAGATTAGCACAGCTCCAGCCATTACAGCCAACTGGAGAGTGAAACAGCAGATGGAAGACCTCTCTCTCTGCCTCTCCTCTCTCTGTATAACTCTGCCTTCCCAATAAATAAATCTTAAAAAAAAAAAAAAGAAAAGAAATTGGAAACTCCTCCTTACTCCTCACCTTCAAAGGTTTCTATCCAGTGTGCATCGTCACATGTTTCTGCAAGGACCTGGACAAACAGAAAGCTTTCCCGCATTGCTTACATTCATAAAGTTTCTCCCCACTGTGGGTTCGCTCATGTCTCTGAGAGGAGCTGCGAAGACTGAAGGCCTTCCCACATTCTTTGCATTTATACGGCTTCTCTCCAGTGTGCACCCTCATGTGTCCCTGGAAGCTTGTAGGGTAAATGAAGGCCTTGCCGCATTGCTTACATTAGTAGGGTTTCTCGCCAGTGTGAGTTCTCTCATGTATCTGCACGTAACTGGAACAACTGAAGGATTTCCCACACCGTTTGCATGTGTAAGGCTTCTCCCCAGTGTGAGTTCTCTCGTGGGTCCTTAGTGCACTGAGATAGCTGAAGGCTTTCCCGCACTCCCTGCACTTGTAAGGCCCGTCGCCCGTGTGCGTTATCATATGTCTTCGAAAGTTCTCCACGGAAATGAAGGCTTTCGCACACTGCTTGCATTCATAGGGTTTTTCCCCAGTGTGATTCCTTTCATGGATCTGCAGATCCAGAGGGTAATTGAAGGTTTTCCCACATTTTTTGCATTTGTAGGGTTTCTCGCCGGTGTGAGTCCTTTCATGGATGCGACAGTAACTGAGCCGGCTGAAGGCCTTCCCACATTCTTTACATTTATAGGGTTTCTCTCCCGTGTGCACCCTCAGGTGCACTCGAAAGGCTGGCCGCGCGCGGAAGGCTTTCCCACAGTCCTTACATTTGTAAGGTTTCTCTCCAGTGTGAGTCCTTTCGTGAATCTGGATGGAAGTAGAGCATCTGAAGGCCTTACCACATTGTTTACACGCGTAGGGCTTCTCACCGGTGTGGATTCTCTCGTGTACTCGTAAAAAACTGGGACGAATGAATGCCTTCCCGCATTCCTGGCATTTATACGGCCTGTCTCCATTGTGCGTGATCATGTGTGTTTGCACGCTTGTGCGGGAAATGAAGGCCTTGCCACATTCCTTACACGTGTAGGGTTTCTCACCAGTGTGAGTTCTCTCATGTATCTGAATAGAACTGGGACAACTGAAGGCTTTGCCACACTTCTTACACGCGTAGGGCTTTTCTCCCGTGTGAATCCTCTCATGGATTCGGAGAGAACTGGAAGAACTGAGCGATTTACCACAATACTGGCACTCATAGGGCTTCTCCCCTGTGTGAGTCTGTTCGTGTGTTTGAAAAGGTTGGTGATAGATGAAGGTTTTCCCACACTGCTGACATTTATAGGGGTTTTCTCCGGTGTGTGTCCTTTCATGTCTCTGGAAGGATTTGAGATAACTGAAGGCATTCCCACACACCTTACATTTGTAAGGCTTCTCTCCATACTTAGAGCCTGCTAGTTTGTATCCAGCATGAGATCTGATATGCCTAACGAGGGATGAATGAAGCACGTAGTCTTTCCCACACACAGTACATTCATAAGGTTTTACTCCAGTCCTTTTCTCGGTCAGGCTGAGACTTAGAATCTGGCTGAAAGCATCTCCACACTGACTCTCTTTCTTACTTTCACAGTTTCTCTCCACCACACAACTTCTACAGAGGCCAAGTTCCTGATGGTTTCCTGCATCACATCTCTGTAGAGTTTCTTTTGTGAAGGATTCAATAGAGCCCACTCCTCCCGGCTGAAGTTCACAGACACATCCTCAGAGACGACTGAATCCATCTCCCGGCCTCCGGGGCGCCCCGATCTCCCCACTCCGGCGCCCGCGGGTTACCCACAAGCTGCCCCAGGCTACCCAGCGAAGAGACGCGGAGACTGCTAAAAATTTATTTATTTGAGAGGCAAAGAGACAGAGACATGGATAGATGATAGATAGGTAGATAGAGAGCGTTCATCTGACTTCACAATGTCTCTATGGCTGAGGCTGGGCTGGGACGGAAGTCAGGAGCCAGGATTTCAATCCATTTCTCCTATGTGGATGGAAGGGACCCAGCCATTTGAGACATGATCACTGTCTTCCACTATCTTCTACACTTGAAGGCAACTGGAGTTAAAAGCCAAAGGCCGTTAGCTAACTTAGACACTCCAATATGTTATGTGGGCAACTTAACAGCTAGGCCAAATACGTGCCCCTCAGAATCTGTTTGATAACCCCTCCTACATAAGTATGTGGTACAGTAACTCATTTAGTTTGGTAGATTCTACTGGCTGTGAGTATTAATCTTCAATAATATTTTATCATTGTTTCTCTTTACACATTAATATTAATGGTAATTTTCCATTTAAGAATTCAGATTTTAAAATTCTAAAAATATAAATTCAGAGCTGGACATCTAGACAGCTCTATCTCTGATAAATATCCTTAAAAGTTTCTTAGACTCAGGACTTAAGGATTTTTCCTTTCTTTTATTTCCTTTTAACATTCATTTATTTACTTGAGAGACATAGTTACAGACAGAGAGAGGGAGACACAGAGATCTCCCATCCACTGGTTCATTCCCCAGATGGCCACAAAGGCTTGAGGAGAGCTGAAGCCGGGAGCCAGGAGCAGCTTCTTCTGGATATCCCATATGGGTGCAGGGCCCCAAGCTCTTGGGCCATCTTCTACTGCTTTCTCAGGCCATCAGAAGGGAGATGGATGGGAAGTGGAGCAGCTGGGACTCAAACTGGCTCCCATATGGGATGCTGGCACTGCAGGGAGATGCTTAACCTACTGCATCACAGTGCTGGCCCCAGAATTTTTATTTTCTAGTAAATAAACATAAGCACAAAATATACTCATTAATGTGCTCAATACATTATCAGGGAAGAGTTTAATAAATAATTGTTATAAATTGGTAAATAAGCAACTGAATTAATATAATGTTTTTCCTTTTTGTACTTGTCACCAAGTGCTAGTTCTTCATAGTTTTTTTCCTGCTTCCTTTAACATAGCACTGTTTTGCTTTCAAAAGCTCCTTTTACTGAGATGACTGAATTCACCAAATCATTCAGTAACTGTTTATTAGGTACCATTTAATTGACTCAAGGCATTAGTTAATAATGAACCACCCATGAGTTCTGCCTTTTGCCAGCCAACTCCTAGATAGAAAGTAGATAATAAATAAATCAAATTGTGTGTGTGTGTGTGTGTACTTGTGCATGTGTATTTGAGAGAGAGAGAGTGAGGGGAAAAAAGAGAGAGAGAAGTAGAAAGAAGGAAAAGTGTTATAAACAAGGCACACTGAATTCAGGGATGGAGAATGAATAAAGGGAGGAAATATGACCTTGTCTAAACAAGATAAGAATTGGAGAACTCAGAGGGCTTCCATAGCCTTGGAAACTCATGACTGGAGCATAGGGAGATTACTGATGCCATAGACAGGAGTGTCAATTGGTAAAGTCAACAACAGGAGTCACTGTGCACTTACTCCTCATGTAGGATCTCTGTCCTTAATGTGCTGTACATTGAGATTTAATGCTATAACTAGTACTCAAACAGTATATTTCACTTTGTGTTTCTATGGGGGTGCAAACTGTTGAAATCTTTACTTAATGTATGCTAAACTGATCTTCTGTAAAAAAAAAAAAAAAAAAAAAAAAAAGGAATTATCAATTCCCAACTTGACTCTCGCTGGGATTAAACATGACAATAGGTCTGATCTGATTTCATCATCATTTAAAAAAATCATCTATTATTTTTCACTTTATGTTTCTGTGTGGGAGCAAACTGTTGAAATCTTTACTTAATGTATACTAAGCTGATCTTCTGTATATTAAGAGAATCGAAAATGAATCTTGATGTGAATGTAAGGGGAGAGGGTTTGGGAAAGGGGAAGGTTGCGGGTGGGAGGGACGTTATGGGGGGGAAGCCATTGTAATCCATATTCTGATCTTTGGAAATTTATATTCATTAAATAAAAGTTAAAAAAAAAAAGAAAGACCTCTCAACGAAAGAGACATATATCAAAGGCTCTAGCAGTAAGTAAAGGAATCAGCCATGAATAAAATAAAGGCCTACATGGTTACATGTGTTAGAAGAAGCGGCATAGAGAAATGGAATATGTGACAAATCTGTAATGTGGTGAGTTTGGCATACGTTAAGAGCTGACAGGAAGTCTATGCGGCTGAATTGTTGGGGGCTAGAGGTAAATGGCAGGAAATGACATTGAAGATGTGGGCAGAAATTTCAAATAATAAATTACTGTCCATGGTAAAGTTGGAAATTTTTCCTGAAAACAATAGGAAGAAGTTGAAAAGTTTCAGAAATGATGTAGTGTGATGTACTTTTTAAGCTGGTTAACGTGAGGATAAATGGAAGGTAGCATTAGAATGGAGGAGAACAGAGAGGATGAACATGATGATGCAGGTTATGGGGGGACGAGAGATGGAGGCAAGCATACTCACTACAGTTTATGACAGAAATATAAGACTTTGGGCCTGGCAACTTGGACTTAAAGGAGGAAGGCACAAAAGTGACTTCATTTGCCAAATACATAGAGATTGTAAGAGCTTTGACTAAATTGGAGTTAGTTCTACTCTTTGGTATACTCTCCATAAAGCCTGTATCAACTGACAATTCAGAAAACATGGAAAATAAAACAAATTAAATACCCTAATATGTTTCAATGAAGAATCCCAAAATTCTGAATAAATATATTAGAATTGCAATAGTAAGGTGAATTCAAGGAGACAAAAATAAATGATTATGGGCCGGCACCACGGCTCACTAGGCTAATCCTCCACCTGCGGCGCCGGCACCCCGGGGTTCTAGTCCCAGATGGGCACCGGATTCTGTCCTGGTTGCTCCTCTTCCAGTCCAGCTCTCTGCTGTGGCCAGGGAGTGCAGTGGAGGATGGCCCAAGTGCTTGGGCCCTGCACCCCATGGGAGACCAGGAGGAAGCACCTGGCTCCTGGCTTCAGATCGGCCTGGTGCGGCGGCCACAGCTCGCAGGCAGTAGCGCCCATTGTGGGGTGAACCAACGGAAAAAAAGGAAGACCTTTATCTCTGTCTCTCTCTCTTTCACTGTCCACTCTACCTGTCAAAAAAAAATGATTATTCGGTTTGACTTTTTGCTCAAGAGAAAGCTGACCTCTGCTGAAGGTCTTGCTTTCTCTGTAGCCCTGCCAAGCAATGACTGGATCTTCCCTGCATATCCCTGCTCCTCTGACTGTGGAGATAAGGTAGACGTATGTGTGGAATTCAAATGTTTTTTCATCACAATAAACATTTTTTTAAAGGTTTTATTTGTTTACTTGAAAGTCAGAGTTACAGAGAGGCAGACACAGAGAAAGAGGTTTTCCACCTGCTGGTTCACTCCCCAGATGGCCACAAAGGCCACAGCTGCGCTGATCCGAAGCCAGGAGCCAGGAGCTTTTTCCAGGTCTCCCGCACAGGTGCAGGGGCCCAAGGAGTTGAGCCCTCTTCTGCTGCGTTCCCAGGTCATAGCAGGGAGCTGGATCAGAAGCCGAGCAGCATGGACTCAACCTGCACCCATAAGGGATGCAGACACTCTGGGTGGCAGCTTTACCCGCTACACCACAGCGCTGGCCCCCACAATAAACATTTTAATCACATTATTCAGTAAACTTTTTGAAGTACTTTATATCTGTCCATAGTGCCACTTTATAGAATTTCGGGACATTCTTCTTTGTGTCTAGCAACAATAACAAATCCAACTCTGAGTCATATATCATAGCACAGTTGTTCTGCAGTTTTAATTTGGTTCAGTGAAATTCTAGATTACGTCTTCTGATTTACCCATGATTGCAGGTCTATCATATCTGTCAGAATATAGGTGATCTCAATACAAAATGGGAAATTCTTTCAAATGTTGGCCATTAATTGCTCTGCTTCAGTAATCTGGTCCTGTTACATACTTGGACCACTACTCTAATTGAAATTAGTGATCTTTAGCATTGCAAATAATTGCAACTCTTGACAAGCTCAATTTCATATATCCTGCTTTCTGTGTATTGATATCATTATACCAATGTTAATTTACATAAGAGAACATTCTTATTATTGGGAAGTAATAAAGTATTTGGAATTTACAGAGCTTGATTTTGACAAATAATTATCAAATTGTGGGAGCAAAATGATGGGTGTTATTTGCATATATTTAATATTTTTCCATATGCTGGAGAAGGTATCAAATAATAGAATTAATATACATTATCATAAGTAATGTCAAATTATTCCAGTTGATATGGTCCCACCTAAGTTGAATAACTATCTAAAAATCATAAAAAAAAAAACCAGTTGGTCAACTCATTGTAAATTATGTTAAAATTGCTAGAGAAGAAATGTGTATACAGTGAGAGGTAGGGTTCTAATTATGTTATTCTACATATATAAGTCTGGTTTTGCCAGCACCATTTATTGAACAGACTGTCCTTTCTCTAATGTATGTTATTGGCAACTTTGTTAAAAATCAGTTTGGCTATGTGTGCATGTATTGATTTCTAGGATTTCTGTTCTCTTATATTGATCTATTGGCCAGCTTTCATGCCCATACTATGCTGTTTTAATTATTATAGCTTTGTCATGCCCTTTTAAATCAGATATTGTGATGTTTCCATTTTGACTTTTTCCCCTCAAGATCACTGTGGTTGTTTTGAGTGTTTTGTGATTCCATATGAATTTTAGGATAGTTTTTTCCTAATTCTGAAAACAATCTCAATATTTTAAAGGGATTGCATTGAATTTGTAGACTGCTTTAGTTAGTATAGACATTTTAATGATATTAATTCTTCCAGTCCATGAGCAAGTAATAGCTTTCCATTATTTGTGGGTGTGTCCTTAATGATTTCTTTCATCAATGCATTATAATT